TCTGATGTGACTTCCTCCAGGGTCCGGAAGGACTCAGAGGCTTCATTGGCAGGGACCATCTAGCTTTTTTGTCTCCTTCGGCAACAGACACCATGGGTCATTTGCGGGCAACATCTGGGGATATTTTATTTAATTAGATTTTTTACCACTGTTGGGGCTTTGGGTATTAGTGCTGTGTGTGCTACTCCTGTTCTCTGACTGAGGCACACAGCAGTTGAGAATCCAGAGAACTTAAATGTCTTCAACTGAACTATATTATTGGCTCCCTCCAGGGCTAACTGGGTGAAACTTAATGGTCCATGAGATACAAAAAGTCACTATAAGTGATCTAATGTCCCCTTCTAGCCTTAAACTCAGTGAAATGGTGAAAAATCTACTTCTAAAGGAAATGGCAGATGAGCAGTTGCCAGGATCTCCTACCAGGCTTCTTCTCCAGCTCTGTCCATGGAGAGCAGTTCCCTCTTTGCAGGTCTGTTTGCAGATTGTCAGTAGAAAATCCTCACTCCTAGACACCAAATACTCATTTCCATCCTTCTGTAGAGCCTGTTGGCCCTTCCTCCCACTCCATTCCCAAGACTGTTTGAGCCCCTCTTTGTGGTTAGCATTTCTGAGAGGAACTTTTAGGTTTCCTTTCTGTTTTTACCAAAATCCAAATGAGGGATCTAATATAGTTGGCATCTGCCTCTCCCATGGGCCAGATCAAACCTCCAGTTCCAAAATATCCCCGACCCTGGCCGGCTGAGAGCTTTAGCCAAGCAATGTCTTCCAGAAATTTATACCGACTCAACATGGCTTTGTTGTTTTCCTCTTCTGCAGTGAAACTGTGCAATTTAAAGCTGTAGGCATGTATTTTTCTTTATGTTGGAAGCATCTGTAAAAGTGGCCGGAGCTGCTTCTCTTCACTGCCGGTTAGGGGTAGATGTCACATCCTGCATGTGCTTTCAGTAGAATGAGAGTTTCCTGCTCTCAGGTTTAAATGTTTTACCTTGAATACTTCCATATGAAAAGAGAAATCAGAGAGAGAGTGTATGGCTAGAAAGCCCAGAGTCTAAGGATTTTAAGCCTAAGTCACAGAGAGTGGAAGCATGCATGCTTTTTCCCCATCAGAATTCAAGGGTAAAGTCTCTCATGTTCACTCGGGAGAAGATGGTAGCTGCAACCAGATGTCTAGGACAGACTCCTAGACAACGAGGACCAAAGGTAAGGGCATGGGTATCTAGCATGGATATCTAGCAGAGGGGACCCAGCAACAACATAAGCGGGATCCCCTCTTTTCTTCTGCTCCCACGCTGGATGACTGGTTTTACTGCCTACCACAGCCTCTGCTTTTACCTAATTTTGTTTGTGGAATGGCCCTCTGCAAAAAGCAAGGGCACTACCCAAGAAAGCCTCAGCAAGAGATCCTGCGCCGAGAGGACAAGGGTTATGGGATGTCAGCAGTGCTTGGGGCAACACGCACTGGGAACGTCCCAGCCAAAAGTCCCAACCAAATCAGTTACACAAGTGTGAGCAGTTGCAGGGAAATAATCATGCCCTGACTGATCAGGGGGAATGCAGTAGTAGTTGCCATGGTTTTTAATCGCTATGAAATGTATTTTCTGAGGGCCTGTTTAGAGGCAAACTTTTATGTAATTAATTGCAAATTCACTTAAAAATAATAGCATAGTTACAGCCCGGAATAGATGTTCTCTGTCCTTCTTTCCCTTCATGCAGCCTAGAGGCCAAGAATGGCACATGCAAATCATCACAAATGCCTGAATTTTTATCCAAGTAAACACTCTTCACTCGTGTTTACATCCTTGGATTTGCAAACGTTTCTGCTGTTAATTTTCACCTAATTTCCACATCAGAAGCTGAACTGTCCAAATTCTACTAGTAGAGCTAATTACCAGATTAAGTGTAACTCTGTTCTACAAGAAAAGCCTGTCTGTGGCCCTCTACTTATTAACAGCCAGCTGCATGAGGCTTGCAAAGTGTGGCATTATCACCACCTAATTGACCAGAAAAGTTAATCTTCTTAGGCCTTCTGCTATGAACTTTATCCCTGTTAGGCTTCATAATTTTTAGAAAGGCATTGATCACACACTTATGACTACTGAGAAACTGATGAGCTTCCTCCCTACTGGAAAACAAAAAAAAAAAAAAAAAGAGTTGAAAGTATTTGCTTCGTCTAGTCAAGATTTACATTTCTTAAAATAGTATTAGGAAGGCTTCAGAGCAATCGAATGAAATGCAATTATTAATACATTTGTTTAATAAAACAATTAAAGCAAATAGTAAGAAATTCCAACTACCTCTTAGTGCATTAAATAAATGGTAAGAAACTTATTTTAAGTTTTGCAGGGTTAATGCATTTGGAACATCTGTAATTTGAAGTAGTCATGAGATTTAAACCACTGTGTGGCCACCACTCTTGCATTATAACAAGTTTAATCCCAGAAAGATGGCTCCAGTTCTTACTCTCTTCATTTTCCAGATTAATTGACATATCAGTTTCTTTGTTGTTCCTCAGGTGATAACCCTCAGCAAGTCTTTTTTCCCAAATGATCTGCCTCATCCATGGCCCCTCTTAGTCTGAAAACACAATGCGAGCTAGGGTTCTTATCCAAACTTACTAATGATAAAGACTGTTCGCTCTCCCAGGCATCTTTGGTGCAATCTGTTTCAAACGCTGGGATTGACGAGTGTCTCAGAACAGTGTAGGAGGGCTGCCTGAGCGTGACTGAGCCACAGAGTTAAAAAAAAAAAAGTCTAAAAAATAATAGAATCATTTCAAATAGAAGATAAAATTCAAGAAAACCATGTTTTGCTTAAAACAAAACTAGCCACCCAAGTTTATTGTCTGAATTTTTAATTGCGCTGGATTGCTGAGCTGCCTCGAGAATGTCACTTTAATCATTTGGTGAATCTGAAGCCTGGGTCTCCAGAGATCATGTTCTGATCTCTCACATATGGTATATCGCACTGTTCATTAGACCCACCGGTCCAGTCACATGGAAATGATGTTCAGACTATTTCTATCCATATCTGCTGCGTTTCTTTCTGAATGTGTCAGTCCCATGATGAGGGCAGTGACTCCAGCTGATACAGACGCAATTGCTGATTGGAAAGAGAGACACTGCAGTGAAAATAAAAGATGAGGGGTTTATGTTTGTCATAATTTGGGCTTTGCAAGAAGTTCCTGACCTGCAGAACAGCCGGTTCTCTTGGGGGAGGAGGATATTGAGATATGTGAGAGTGTGAACCCTGAGGAGCAGCCGGAGAGCCTGGATCCAGTGACACATGCATGTCACATGGTGGAAAGAAGATGGATAACCATGGGGACAAACTTGCTGAGCTGAGCTGCTCAAAACCTGGATTCAGCTCCAAGGGGAAGCAGAAATTCCCACCAATGTCACAAGATTCAGTTCTCAGCTCTTAACACTCCACAGCTGCTTCATTTTGGTGGCTAGGTGGAAGCTGAGGCTTCCTTTGCACAGTAGGCAGCTGGCTTCCTTGCTTTTCCCTCTGCATATTTGATGCCAGGGGTTGAGAAGTAAGGAACAGAGCAATCTTATCCTGGTTGGCTGTAAGCCAGTAGGAGGTGACTTCTGGTCCCCGCTGGAGGGACAGAGCTTGGAACGAGCCCAGCTAAGGACGGAATAAGCTCAATTTAGGAGCCTGTCTCTAGCTGCATGTGCAGAAGATACGGTACTGGCAACTACCAGCGTGAATCAGGTCAAGGGATTCCCAAGCAATGCAGAGTGCTTGCCAGGGGACCCCAAAATGTCACATCTAACTTCTCACCCTGCACTTTGGCAGAGGGGCTGGGGAGTGGGGAGGGAAGCGTTGAGTCAGTATAAATGTCACAGCCAAGGGTCTTCAGTGGAAGTGACAACGGGAGGAAACACTAGTGCCAGGAGTTCTGGCATAGGGAAAGTACTGTCACTGCCACCACCTCCGGCTTGGAGATTTACTGATAATAACTTAGGATGTGCCATAAACAGGAGCGATATTAAATGAGTCTGACTGTCTCAGGGACTGAATTTTACAACCCAAAGTGTTAGCTCTCTCTGCCTCACTGAGATCCCGAGGCATTTTTCCAGCAGCTCCCACCATCTCATTAAGTGCTCTCCTGAGAAGGCCTTCAAACCGAGACAGCCCTCCCTTCACAGCATAGTGCTGACTACTGAGATCAGACACAAATATCCGCTGGATCACCCAGCACACACCCTCGGGGCTTCGCTACGGAGATCTCCCAGGCCATCCCTGCCACCTCACTGTGTCCACAGCCTTCCGGGCTGTCTCCTTATGAGGAAACCAAAAAGAGCCACAGAAGTGCTGTACCAGGTGCTGTCACAGACCAGGTATCAGAGTCTTGGACCTCAGTGCTAGCAGCTTGTGCTCAGGGGTCAGACCTCACTGTAGCTGTGCTGGGGCTGGATTGAACCTAGCTGAACCTTTGCTGAGATGCCCTCTCTGCATGGGCGTGGCTTCTGAGGTCAAGCCACGTTTTCCTCATGGAGTCGCTGGCACCAAAAGGTCATGCTGTGGTGCAAACGCTTTTTTTCTGCTCCATGAATAAATCCAGGGTTGCAATAGCAAGGCTGAGCATGCTGCTGCCTTTCTCCCCCATAATAAAGCAGCTCCTGTGGCCAGACAGCAGCCGTCCCAAGGAGGCAGGGCTTGCTGTGCCAGAGTGCTTTCCTGCTCAGGGATTCCCTTGTTTAGACAACACATGACATCCCAGGAGCAGTAAAACTTCAGAAGAGCCCTGGGAACAGTGAATTCACTCTCCTGTGTCCCTTCTGCTGATCAGAGAAGCACATCTGTGGTGGTCAAGAGCAGAGCACCCCATTCTTTGTGTGGCCTGGGTTGCATTCACCAACCCACAGACCTAGAGAAAGAGATTTATTCCAGAGAAACTGCAGCTCATCTCAGAGAAAAGACTTATTTTGGTGGCTTCCTTGGCAAATTTCCTTGTCGTTCTCCTCTCACAACCCTTTCCTGTGCTCCTCCAGTCTGCTCGCAGTTCTCCAAGGGTGTCTATGCCATCTTTGGATTTTATGAGAGGCGAACCGTCAACATGCTCACGTCCTTCTGCGGGGCTCTCCACGTCTGCTTCATAACACCCAGCTTTCCCGTCGAAACGTCCAACCAGTTTGTTCTCCAGCTTCGCCCAGAACTCCAGGATGCTCTTATCAACGTCATCGAACACTACAGCTGGCAGAAGTTCGTGTACATTTATGATGCTGACCGGGGTAAGTCACAAGTAAGCAGGGAGAGTTACAGGGTGATAAAACATAGTGGTCTAGATGCCGTCTTTGCCTGAGAAAGTCCCCTTCCTGTGGGTTGCTGGAGGCTGAGCAGGTGTGCTAAAGGAAGGCTCACGCTATGCCTTCTTTGTTCTTTATTCCTTTCCTAAATATCCATTCCTGACCATGGCTGCAGATGGGACGCTGGACTAGTTGAAACGTTAGCCTGACCCACTATATCTGTGTTCATACTGTCAGGCCTGCACTACAACAGCACAAGTGAAATGTTTTATATCCTGAGGGGTTTGGGTGTCAAACAGGGAGATGATTTATATTGAAGAGGTCCCACTTTCGGTAGTCTGCCCAGCTCAAAGCCACTTTGAGTCCTACATTTATGAACGTGAAAAAACAGCAGCTCAGGTTTCACCTGAGAGCACGTAAAGGCCTCAAATGAGCACGCATAGCTGTGGTATGCATGTTTATTTGTGGCAGGTAGTTCTGAAAACTCTGAGATCCCTGTGTTAATTAGTGTTGTTTGCTTAAGAAAAGAAAAAAGCCTTCACTGGGCTTTTGGAAGTAATTACCTAACTTTCTAAACCATAAACAGGGCAAGTGACCTCATTGCTCTGTGGCTGCGTTTCCCCAGCTCTCAAATGCCTCTAAAGCTCGGGGCTGAGAGCAAAGAGGACTTGTGGAGGACAGCATGTAGGTGAGCATCCTTCCCTTTCACTGCCTTGGAACTTATCATGAGCCCTTGCAGGACGAGATGACCCAAGAGACAAGGAGAACATATAAAGCAGAATGGAAAGCACCTTGCTTTCTGGTGTCATGAGGCATGAGCATGCTGAATATCCTCAATATCTACAGTAGACAGGGTTGTCTAGCTGGACTCCAAGGTGGTGCTGACTATGTATATCTCCTCTGGAAAGTCATGAATGTAATTTAAGCAAGATCCTTCTAAAAATAATGAAGTTTTCTGATGAGATGCTGCCAGGAGAGATAAGGATGCTGAATTTGATTGTGTATTGTGACTGCTGAGGGAGTCCCTAACCCTACAAGTTTAGTGCCTAAACAGATCAAAGATGAGAAGGAAACTATGGCCCAGAGAAATTAAGTGATTTGGGTAGAGACAGGCAAGAGGACTGGGATTAGAGCTCTTATCTGAATCCCACAGCAGGGCCTGATCAACGAGACTGATCTGCTGATTACAAAGGAAAACTAGGCCTAGAGTCATCCTCTTTTCCTGTGCTAGGACAGAAAGGCAAGAGTCATTAATTCTAGCCCAGCTGTGTTTGGGTACAATGCTAGACTATTAAGTGCTAACTGCAGTTCTGCTGAGCTTTTGCAATGCTGTGTCAAGCGCAGCTTGAGGTAGCTGTGCAGGCTGTCAGAAGGAAGGAAAAATGCCATTAAGTGCACAAGTAAAGCCTGGTTCTCTCTCTGCTGTCTTCTCCTCCCTCTCTTCCCATCACAGGGCTGTCAGTCTTACAGAAAGTGCTGGACACTGCAGCTGAGAAGAACTGGCAGGTGACAGCTGTCAACATCCTGACGACAACAGAAGAGGGCTACCGCATGCTTTTCCAGGAGCTGGAGAAAAAGAAGGAAAGGCTGGTGGTGGTGGACTGTGAATCTGAGCGGCTGAACGCCATTCTTGGCAAGGTTGTGTGGGTGCGGGTCTTCTGGGAGGGGTCGTGCATGCAGGACGGGAAGGGTTGTTTCTCCTGGAGAAGTTCTCCTCCCCGTTCTTGTTTGATCTGTGTCTCACTGCAGGTTGTCATGGATGTAATATGTGTGCATTGCAGGAGGTTGCAGAGCTCACAAACATTTCTGCTTTGTGTTACAAAGTCATGTGAAGCCTAGGAGGTCCCACGTATTCATGTGGAGTGAGCACTGCTGCTGCATGGGTTCTTTTTCCTGACTTGTCTGACTCCTTTGCTGAGCCCCTTAAACCCTCTCAGTCCCCAGTGAGTTTGTTTTGTGCCGATTCCTCTAAGCAGTTGAACTCCAAAGCAGTAAGTTGAACTCCAAGGACTGGATACTTTTAGCACCTGTACTGCCTTGCGGCAAGTGAGACTGGTTCATTCCCAGCCATCACCTGGCTGCCTTGTCAGCTCAAGGCTAACGGTGTGACACTGTCACGAAGCAGATGGCATATGTGGCAGAGGACTCAGTTGGGTGCCTTGCCTTACTCATCCTCAAACTAGGTAGGTCACCTAGCAATGCATACCCAGATTTTCCCCCTCTTCTTCCCTCCGTGCCTCCATCAAAGTTCTCCCATAGCCTAAGCATGGATCTCTGTGGATAGGAGACAAATGCAAGGCCATGGACAGGCCTCAGTCCACACTTTAAGGGTGTTGTGTCCCCTCTTCAATTCCAGCCATGATATCTTTCCCCCTCACACCTACAGCCAAGGCCTTTCCCACTGCTGGGACTCCCCTCTCCACACTACTTAGAAAGTGCGTAACAGCACAAGCAGTTGGAGCACTGTGGCTCCTGCTATCATACTTATAATCAGCTCTCTCTTACCTCGTGCTTCCCATGTCTCTCTGTCGAAGCTACCTGTTATCTCTCGTCTCACACTTCAGCTGCTCGCCATGGGGGCAAAGACTGCCCTTTCATTAGCTACATGGCTCAGTGACTAGCACAATCCGTCCTGGTTGGATGTCTTGTGGGTTCTACTGCATTTAATATAAGAAAGAAGCAGGTAGCAGGTTTTGACTTCGAACTAAAGGTCACGCTCATGAAGAGAGACCAGATTATTCTGAAGGATAAAGTTTTCTCTCTGACCACAGAGTAGCTACAGTTCCGCAAACATTTTAACTTACCCTAAACAGTGAATTTGCTTTTTCTGCAAGCTTTCCTATAGGGTATATCAGTTTTCTAGGGTTAATGGTGCTTTTTGTTGCAATGCTCTGCTGTCTTTTTAAACCTAGTTTGTCTAATGGTAAGTTCTGTATTAAGTTCTATACATTATTTATTTTGCCAAATATGAACAGGGTAAGAAATCTTTATTTCCAACTTCTGCAAGTAAGTGGAGCAAGAGTTATGCTTGCATCTAACTGAAGCTGCTTGCACAACAGTAAAATCCTGTCTTGTATTTATATTTTTGCAATGCTATAAAAACCACCCATTTCCAGGGAAAGGAGAGATGATGTTGCGTTTTTCTGTATTGAAGACAACAATTCCAGCAGTCCTCTGTGCCAAGGAGGCAAGACAGGGCCTCTGCTGTTAGGGACAGGGCTGTATATAACTTTTTTCTAACCTGTGTAATGCAATTCCATCCTCATCCAGCTCCTTAGTCTGAGTCCACAGGGATTTCTGACAGCAGAAATGGTTAGTTATGCTAGGGCAAGCAGGGGATCCCAGGTCTTTCACAATATGCAAATACTGAGAAGGGGCAAATATAATGTTTGGCTCATTATCACATGAAATTCGGCTAGGACTTGAACTCGGGCTGGCAGCCAGCCTCTCAGCTCAGCGCACCGGCAGCCTCTGCGTGGATGTCACTGCTTTGTTTTTCCCGTCTCTCTCCTGGTGTTTGTGAGGTGTTCAAAGAGCTGCCTCAGCCTCTTAGGGATATTTTAATGCATTTATCTCTTTTCCTGACAAGCCTGTCTCTGTCTTTTGGTGTCTCTGGATTTGTGCTCCCTGGTGAACAGAAGAGCTGAGGATCGCTGTGTACCATCAGTCACTCACACGTACACACAAGTGGCTACAAGTAGCTTTAGTTTCTTCTCCCTACCCCCTATGCATGACACAAATAATCCCTGCCAACAGCGGCACTGCAGTCCTGGATTTCTTGAGACCATAATTGTAGAAGGAGACGGTGCTCAAAGCATTAATGGTATGAGGGAAAATGACCTGGTTTCTTTTTCGGAGATTTCTCTGTGTCGTGTCTCAAGGGCATGATTTATCTTTGCTGAGATAACTGTCGTTTGTGAGCTGGGCCTTGGTTCAGGGCAGGATATCCACAGGGCCGTACTGCGTAGTCTTAATGGGATAAATAAGCGATGGGTTGCATTCCATCAAAGCACTATATTGTTTCTTTCTTGTCTCTCATTAAAATGAATAACTGGAATTTCTCCTTTGCCACTGTTTCACTCTGAGAGGATTTCTCTCTAATAGATGTCAAACTGGCCCATTAAGAAGTGGGTAATGAAACCTAGCTGGCCCAAGTGAGCTATCAGCATGCAGCCCTGCACAGCCTCTCACTACGTTCAGGCTAAGTGATAAATGCTATTATAACCTCAGCTTGCTACTGCCATCCAGACGCATTAGGACTGAGCAAGCATTTTAAAATAAATTAAGATTGCAAATAACTGTGTAAAACATGGGAAGCAAGCCTCATAATTCAGGCGGATGGGCTGCAAGATTAACAGCTCAGGGAAAGCTGATCGGCAGCCCTCCCCAATTCATCGACTCTGACACCTATGAAAATAACAAAAGGACAGTGTGGGCACAAGGAGTCAACGCCAGTTATTATTGACACTGGAGAAATGGGAAATTTGGCTGTAATTCTTGGGTATCCCAATGCCCCAGGGATGCTCCTCCCTCCCACAGGGTCTAGGACTTGCTGCAAAGGTCAGTCTCAGCCCATGAATTGAAGGAGACAAGCTGGGTCTGGTTTTGCTTCTCAGAGCTGGCCACAGAATATACTCAGCTGGAAAAGTACCAATAGTAAGGGTACACATCTGTTGGGGAACAGAGATTCTCATGAGGCCCCAGACTCGTCTGCAGAAGCCATGCTGAGGGTCCTGTGGGGAGAACCACAGGGCAGTAAAGCTGGTGGAGCTCAAATTAGTTATAAAAGAAACTGCTACTAAACAAAGCCTTCAGAGTTGATTGCAGCCCCCATACCAATGCTGGGAACCAGTTGAGTTTTAGTGCATGTACAAAAGCGCTTCAGCAATGAAAGGCTAAGGCAGACAAAGCAGTTGCACAGAGCAAGTATCAGATCATTTAAAATCCATTTGAAAATTCCTCAATGGCTGCCAATGATAAGCTGGGAGTGCTTCTGTCCCAAGGGGAGGATCAATCCGTGCGCACCCTGGGCTTAGGCACTTCTCAAACACCTGCTGAAAGCCCGGTATCAGAGAGAAGCCCTGAGTTAGACAGAAATACAAAAGTCCTTTGCATTGTCATTCTGGTGGTGAGGATCTTTCTGGCCTTGCTGGCATTCCTTGTTGGATTTTGCTTGAGCTTTGGCCATTTAGCCAGTAATTCAGAATCAATGCATATGACAATGGAAATATGGGGTAGTGTTACCAGGAAAGAAACCACATGGAAACAGCATAGTTTCATCAAAAACTGGCAATTCTTGTGTTTTTTCCTAGCTTTGAAGGGGCGTTGGTTTGGGCTTCCCTTCCTCCCTCCCTTTTTTTTTTCTTTCTATATGGACTGGTTCAAATGCAGAAGATATCTGGCTCTGGTAACTTGGTAAGAATATAACTGTGTTGCTGAAATCAGTGAAGAGAAATTTCAGTGGAAACTTAGAGCCAGCAAGCATAATATGATTTTAGATGTGTTATTTCTGTATTTTTTAAATGAAGGAAGAAAAAGACAAGAGACCATCTGAGCTCTAGATCTCTGGGATCTCTCGGGTTATGGGCATGTCAGATGGTCCCAGAGATGGCTTGTCGGTCTCTGGGACCATCTGATATGCCCATAATCCCAGACAGGTGGCAACATGTCTGTAACAGGTGGTGCGTTTCCACCTAGGCAAGGGAAACCGTTCTTGCTAACACAGAAACTTCCAAATGTTACAGATCTGTAAGCAGTTGTATTGATAAAATAAAAACTTAACTCTCCAGGGATCAGGGAGAAGAAAAGGAGTGGCAAAGAGCATATATGCATATACCAGGAGTATAAAGATCTCCTCACCATTTTGTTCCTTTAGTGTCTCAAATCTAAATCTTGTTTCACCTTTCTTAAAAAAAAAAAAAAGAAAAGAAAGAAAAGAAAAAAAAACACTATTCTCTCCTTGAACCCATAGGAAACATGTTGTTTCAAGTCATTTGCTCTCCACCTGTGGAATCTGCTTGGGAATCTTGTCCTGTCTAATTTTAGACTTGCTGCTCAAAAATCGTATGTGAAAGCTCAGTCCTTTTCCTAATCTGATTCTTTCAATGCGTCTTACAGCCCTCATGCAAACAGTCTAACTGGGAAATAAATGGGTTTGGTAGGTATATAGGTGAAGCTCTACTTCCTGCATTGGTCTCTGCTAAATATCTTTGGTTTTTATCCTGCAGATCATCAAGCTTGAAAAAAATGGGAATGGATACCACTACATTCTGGCAAATTTGGTGAGTTTGGGTATTACTTATTTTGTTTTCCCTCATTGGTGTTTTCTTGGCTAACTAAATTTTTGCAAAGCACTATATTCGTAATTATGGAGCTGGCAGACTTTTTTTAATCTACCTTTGGGGTAGCAAAAATATCAAAGTCCTTTGTAGTGTTCTCCTTGTGGTGTTTTCCACTCAGAGCCAGTGAGATCATTGCCAGGGCATCTCCAAGGTTGCTAGGCAGTTTTTGCCTCAGGTTTCAAAGTGCATCTCTTCCAAGCCAGTTAAGCCAACTGTCAATTAAAGCAGGGAGTTTTTTGCATGTCTTGGGCACTTGGGCAGCTGGCATTCCCCTCCCATCTCATTTCAGCTGGGCAACCAAGAAGCTGTCAACACCTGGTAGTGACTTGCATTTTCTACTAGTTTTAACCCCATTTCAGTGTGTGCTCCCCAAGTGAAGTGTTTCATATCCCATTAGCCATCCGCCAGGCCCTGAAGGCAGACTTGTTGATGACAGATGCACTGAGATCCCTCTGACCTTCCAGTAAACCAAAGCCATGTAACTTTTCTGCAGCTTGGTACTAAATCAAATCTTATTGTCATGGCTCTAAGGAAAGAACTGGATTTAAGGAGTTCCTTAAGGAAAAGATTGTTCTTTTAATGCAGGGAGGCGTTTTCTGAGGACAGAGCTGTGCTGGGCAGTGGCAGAGACATCTTTCTGATGCCATCTGCTGTCCCCCCAAGAAAGCTGGAGAATTTCTTTACTTAGGGAGGTTTGGGGAGAGGTAGGAGAAAGAGAGGAATAGTCCCAATTCATAGGGAGGCTGGAGGATTTCCTCCTCAGAGCTCCTCCCAGAAGAGTCGTTGAATCCTCTCCTCTCCGACATGCTGGTGCATCCAGGAAGGCAGCACAGCTCAGGCTGGTGTCAGCAGCCTGGGGCTGGGGCTGCTCTCCGAACTAGGACCCCGCTGTGCAAGGCAGAGGCTTTCGGCGGGATTGTCCTTCAGCCCTGGTGCTGCCCTTGCCCTCTGTGGGGACGCAGTGGCACATCGAGGTGAGCCACGCGCGGGGTCTGGAGCGGCTTGCCCCTCCTGCAGCTGCAGCTGCGAGGCACTACGTCAGGCTCTGGGTAATTAAACTTTAAACTACCAATTAGTCAAGCAGTTGCTGCCCTTTTCCTTCTCTCTGTCCCAGGATAACTCTGTAATTTACAAGACAAAAATGGCCACATAATTACCCAGCGATGCCCTGGTACTGACCCTGCACTTCTGCACTGGGTGGCTACCTTACAATTACAAAGTTAAAAATGTTACGTTGTGCAGGGGCAGACCTGCAAGTTGCAGAGCAGCCGGTGACTGCAGTTGCTAATTTTTAAAAAGTTATTATTTGCTGTAACCCAGAGCCCCAGTCCTCAGAGGTTTCTGAAAGCCCCTTCATTAAAGGAAGCAGGGAATCTGTCTGGAGTAGTGGGAGTGCGTGTGTCTGTGTGTTTTTATGTATACCCATGCAGAAGGGTAAATGAGAGTGATATCACCTCTCCTCTGCATTGTTTCATAAGGATAAATGCATTAAAGGCCTGAGGTTGTCTGATACTCAGGTGACAGAGTTATGAAGGACATCTCCCTGTATGTTAGGATACCTCTCTCTCCCACTTTCAGCACTCTTCTCCCATCTTTAACTTCTTTTCTTAGCCTTCACAGATGCTAAGAGGACAGAGCTGGCTAGAAGAGGGCTGAATACTCAGCCAACAGGATTATAAATAATTAACTCAGAGCAAAAGGCTTTTCAGTTCTCCAGCCCCTCTGCCGCAAGGCTCTGCCTCCTGGGCTGCTCAGCGTAAGCAGTTTTCTGTCCCAGCCGCTGGGTCCCTGCAGCATCCCCAGTTCTGACGGGACACCCAGAACTCACTGTTATTGCTGGTGCTTTTCAAGCTGATTTGACGGAAGAAGGGAAGCGAAGGGGGAGTGAAAAGACCAGAATCTCTTTCCTTTGTTTTTCAATCTGCTTACAACCCAGCATTGCATGAGAGCCAGACTCCAGAGACAGGAATGTAAAACAGTGAAAGAGAGCAGGGTATAATCAAACAACCTGGGAATACCATTTTAAAACACTCCTCAGCATTATGAGGGCCCTTTTGTGGGCATCAAAAGCCAAATCAGTTTCCTTGATATACTGTGCCTATGTGAGAGCTAGTCGCGCATCGGTTCTGCAAGGAAAATGTCAAAAGGCTCGAAAGATCTCGCTTTCCTGAGAGTGCCGCAGGGGCGAGGCAGTAGCGCATCGCCGCTGTGTGCTGATGGCCGGAGATGCTATAAGGGCTTGGCAGAATGTGGGATGTCAGCATCTGGGAGGGTTAAACCACAGTGCGGATGCTCTAATTCAAGGGATCATGGTAGCCTTAACCCTTTTCTAAGGACTTCTCATTCCTGGATTACAGCCTTCAGAGGGTGTAACATGCTGTAATTTATTCACACTGACTCATATACATAGTGGATAGACCTTAAATAGCCCCCGTTTTCCCTTGTAGATGAGTCTTAAGGGGACAGGGTGTGCATTGCCCACGCACACACATACCCGCACATGCATACCTGCACATGTAGGAGCTAGCCTGATTTTGTGGAAGTGGCACAGTTTGGAGTACTGAGTTGTAAGAGTATAAATTAAGAGCTAAAAACTGCAAATGCCTTTAGATTTCCAAATGAGTGACTTCTTGTTCCCTGTGCTGATTGATGGAGTCCTGATTTTTGGAGTCTCATCCTGCCCATCAGTATGACAACAGCGGTCCTTCCCTAGTTGGGACAGGCTCTGCCTTGCAAGTCAAGGGAGCCCTCAGCTGGTTTGTGGCTGCCCATTGCTTAGGTACTCACTCTAGCTGGACCGAGTGGATGAATTTTCAAAATCTGCCTCTTTGCTATGGTACCTAAATTTTTGGGCCATTCCCCATGAGGCAACAATCATGGAAACGGCATAGTTGAAGCAAATGTTGGGAATTTCTGGTCACATGGTTGTTCAAAGCTACACTCAGCCAAACGCAGAGTATTGTCCAGTTGCAGCAGCTCCGACCGAATCAGTGCTGCATCAGGAACCTAAAGCAAGTAATTTTTAAGCAAATGCACAGGCCGAGTGAGTCCTACCAAAATCATCCAAAGGAGCGTTTTGAACAAGGTGGGACTCGCTGTCTGGTCACAGGCAATTCCTGAGCAAAAGGAAGGACTAACTTTGAATAATCAATGGTGGTTTGCCCAGCAGTGGCTGTCAGGAAAGCTGCAGTAAAGTACCGAGCAGAATTTGACAAGTAGCCGCAAATGAAAGCTAGTATTTCTTAGTAGGAACAGCTTTCTTTTTCAGTGAAATTGCTGTTGCCAGGGTGAGACAATAACATTTCTGTGTTCACAAAGAAAAATGAAATTGTTCTGCACCTTAGGCCATGGACAAACATCCTCCTCTGAATCTGACTGAGCCTGTTGAAGGTGCACGATCTCTTGTCTGTTCATCCCTGCCTGTCCCACAGAGGTCTATCCCATGAAATGGTACTGCCAGGGGAAGGGTTCACGTGAGCGTTCCTGCCTCTCCTTGGGGCAGAATTAGCCAGGTCAGCACATTCCTCCTTCCACTGTGGTTTCTGTGTCTGGTCTGATTTTGCAGCTAAGGGGTGGTGAGGCACAGCTGGGGACACCCCTCTCTGAGGCTTATCAGTCAGTATAGCTATTTGTAAACAAAAGGTCTATGGCTTTTGCAAACCCATGAAAACCGGATCTTCAACCACTACCCACTAGAGTTACTCCAGTTAGCTTTTACCAGCTACCAGTCTGCATATTTGTCAGGTATACCAGCATGAGGATTTTGCAGTCCATTCCCTTCCTCCCTCTCTCTTTCTCCCTTCTCTCTCTTTTCTTTTTAGAGCTCAAAGAGGTTTGGCAAGTTTAAGTAGTGTTTGCTATTGTGGGTTTTATTTTTCTAAGCTTTGTTCTCAGCCTTTGAGAGCATCAGTCTAGCAACCACAAAAGAAAAAATACAGTCAATACTATCAGAGGAGGAAGCTTAGAAACTTCTGGGATTCCTTTCTTTTGATGTTGCAAACTTTTTTCCCTGTAACCTTGGCTTCACGTATCTGTTCGCCTTATTCCAGGGATGTAGGTTGGCTACTGTCAGTAATGGGAGAACATCAGCTCTCTTGGGCAGAGAAAAATCTTTGTCTTAAAATAAGTGACATTCCTGTGACCTATCTTTAAAAGAAAAGTATTAAGGACAGCTGCCATATATGGTGTTTCAGCTTTTTTTTCCCCCATTAGTCCAGGTTCTTCTTTTAGCAGATGCTCTCGTTTGAAGTTGAATAGATAAGTGTATGAGTTTGCTGATGCTAGGGTGGCAGGGAAGAGAAAAGATAAGAACAGTGTCGATTAGCAAAGGTAAGCATTTTTTTCTATGCCATTTTATATCAGCATGTGTCAGTGCTGAGTTGGGCCATGGACAGAGTTTCACATGACAAGCAGCTGTGATGGTTTCAGAGGTTACCAGCGCTGCAGTTTTCCAGCACAGTAACTTACGCAGGAGTCAGGCAAAATCTACAAGTTTAGTTCAGTTCACCTGCAGTTTAAATGCGCTTCTTTGGTCTTTTCTTTGAAAGTGGAAGTGGAGCCCTCGGGAGAAATTCTGTACCACCAGGTCTGAAACATGGTAACCTGAGACAGACTGCCAGCCTTGGAAGGATTTTTGCTGTAGCTAATGAAGGCTCAAAAACATGACTTACTGTGGCTTAAAAAAATTACTGAGCATCGGGTGAGCAACTGATATTATATCATAACCATTGGAAGGAAAAGTGTTTGCTTAGATCTCAGCAAAAGGGCATTAAGCTCACAGGTTTCCTCTCCCATTTGCACTCTCCTAATCCATTACCCTAGCTCATCTGGCAAGGAGTAACTTGTAAATCCATGATATCTTTCTCATGGTGACTTCATCAGTGCTTGTTTCCACTCTGAACTTGCCTTTCTTCAACTTCCTCCACCAGATTTGAGTCTCT